GAGAGAGTGTGTGTGTGTGTGTGTGAGTGTGTGTGTGTGTGTCGTCAGACCGCAGTCGTTGCACAACAGTCGTCATACCTGTCGTGTTCTCTGTCCTCACAGCGATCCACCTGTTCCTCTAACAGCAGGAGAAATGCACTCACACAGGTGACATTATTACCAAACTCTGGTTTCTGAACAGTTTAATCAGACGAGTGTTTTATAGATGTTCTTATCTCTATTCTTCAGGATCAGCTGAGGTTCTGCTGACCCGCTGGATCATGGTAAGCTGGCACGTTTCTCCTTGTTTACACACTTGTGGTCAGAATGGCTTTGTGTTTGAGTGAGAATCCGTCTGAACAGGTCTGTACTTGAGCATTAACGGTGTGGGTGTGACGCTCAGGTAAATAATTAGCGCAGACCGAGCTTTCTCTTTCTTTACACGAGAACTCCAGCATCAGATCCATCTGATATGATTCATCTCCAGATACTCTCTACTCTGAAGACCGGCTGTGAGTCTCTCTGCATTTGTTTTAATTATGGACGAGGAGAATGCATGCATGCATGGATTTGATCTAAATATCTTGATTATTATCCTTATGAAATAATAACACTTCCCTTGGAAGCACAAGAGTTTTGCAGGTTTCACTTACGCTTTCAGCTGCAGTTCTTTAGAAAACATCCACTCTTTAGTGAGAAACGTTGTGGGAACGTTGTTTCTAAAACGGTGAAATGTTCAGGCTCTTGTCATGTTAGAACGTTATTTAAAGGTTGCAAAAATGCTTTTTTTTATTTAGTATTTATACTTAGTATTTATCTACTACATTTTTTACCTTAAATAAACACTTATTTGTACTGAACACTAAAATGTATTAATTGTGACTGGAATGTTATTTAAAGGTTGCAAAAATGTTTCTTTACAACGTTCTACTAACTTTATTTTTTACCTTAAATATAACATTATTTGAATGTTTATTTTAAATATTTTAAGAGCATTAAAATGTCCAGTTTTCTTGTCGTGATTACATTATTTTAAAGCTTATAAAAACGTTTCTATTAACTTTTTCACCCAAAATATATAAATGTTTCTTCTAAGAATGTTACAATGTAGCCTCTAGTTTTCTTTCATGATTAGAACGTTGTTTAAAGGTTACAGCAAACGTTTCCTGGAACGTTCATCAAGAATTTTGAGAATGTTATTAATGCTTTCTCTCAACATTATGAGAACGTACATCAAATATAAAGAATGGTTTTAAGAACATTGCCTTAGGAACGTTTTGTCCTAACTTTTATGTTCTTTAGAACAGGGTTCTTTGAAAAAAAAAAATTTTTTTTTTACTTTTAAACATTGTTTTACAAGTGTTTTTTGCACTTTTGCAAATGAATCTAAACAAAGCATGCATAATAATGAAAAGAGCATTCAAGAAAGAGTTAATGTTGTATTTGAACAATCGCGGATGTGTGCTCAAATGACGCCAGCTCTGTGCATCATTCTGTTGTGATATGCATGTGTATAAATTCGCTTTGTGAGCTCAGAAACGCGTCTGAAGGGCTCTCTGAATGAGCTCTTGTTCTTTGTGTTGGACTCGGTTCATCTGATCCTCTGAAACCCAATCCAGCTCTGCCTCCTTCTTCTTCACTGCATGCATGCGTCTCTCCGCGCGCGTCCTGCAGCGCACTAATAATGACCGCTCGCGCTCTTGAATGATCTGATCGCTTCTATCGATCCGGAGCGTCTCTGAGCCGCAGGGCTGGATCAGTTCGCCAAAGACGCGCTTCTCTGGGCGTTTCGCTCGCCGAACCGGACCGTGAGTTTCTCTCAAGAGTTCTGATGAATAATGACTGTGTGAGATTCTATAGAATGTCATTTGATAACAACCTAGAAATACTTTAGAATCTTTTGCTGCGTTTTTAATGAAGTGTTTAGGTTCAAATCACCGAATGTTCTCTCAGACTTCTGGACTGAGAGAGAGAGAGAGAGAGAACTCTCTGGAACACTTTGCTAAAGTTTATTAGACAAAAAGTCAAACTAGGTTCTGATTGGTGTGTGATAAATTTTGACTCTTAGTGTTTCCACGTGGGTAACTGTGTGCTAATTGAGCTCAAGCTATGCTGACTTGAGTGAACAATATTGAATGCTAGTGCTTTCTAAATGACAACATGGTCTAGGCAATGAGAAATGAAGGGATTTGTGTGTAGAGTTTTGCAGTGACAGTTCAACAAATCTGATTCATGTGTCAAAAAGGGGAATAGTGTTTATAGTTTAGAGAAATGGGTGTGCTTTTTGATAAATGGCGTTATGGTTTTGAAATTTTAGTTCAAAAGCCTGGTTATAGTGTTTAAGCAATCGAGAAAAACTGTAAATGCGATTAACAATTCAACAAATAACATTACATATGAAGTGTCTGTATGTGTTCTTTTATTAATTTTACAAACAAATTTATAAAAGTGTTTCAAGATCAGGTAAAAGCTAGTTTAAATAAACCAACTTCTAAACATTCTAAAAAAACAGTTGTGATGTAACGAAGCCTCGTTTACTGAATCAATCAATGATTCGAAACAAACGATTCACAAAAGTTTCGAAGCTTCACGAAGCAGCGCTCATCACTACAATCAGTGTTGGGTAAGTTACTTTAAAAAGTGATTAATTATTAGCTACTAATTACATCTTGAACAGTATAATCAGATTACTGTACTAATTACTCGCTCTAAAAAGTATTGCATCACTAATTTCTTCCTAAATCCAATATCAATATTTACCAGTTAAACAATACAAGGATAGACGTTTGCTATTTAAATTCTTTTAGATAACAAAAATTTAAGTGCATCAATTTTTCTTGGACCAACCAAAGTATTTAAAGCACTATTATTTTATATTAAATTGTTCTGTAGTGCCGTATTTAATGCAGTTACATCAGAATTAACTTATTAAATTAACTTATTAGTACAAAGTAAAAATTCGACAGTTCTGCTCGCTTAAACTTTGAATTTCTTAACCTAAAAATTTCAGTGTAACCCATTAACTCAAAGTTTCTTAGCTTGTTTCATCTGTAGCCAGAATATGAGATGTTTTCCCCACGAAAAACTTGCTATTAATTGGCATTAGATAATCATTATTACCATATCAAGACAATTATGTTTTTTTTTGTTGATGTAGCGGTCTCTGGTGAAGTATTCAATGCAAAAAATTATTTTCTTGCTTAGTATTTTTGTCTTGTTTTCTAGTATAAATATCTAAACATTCTTGAATCAAGATGCATTTACTTAAGTTAAGATATTAAGTTTTGTTTTCTAAAAAAAGTATCACAATTTTGTTAGTTTTTGCTTAAAAGAAGCAAAAATATCCGCCAATGAGGAAAGAAAAATAATCTTAAATCAAAGGCTAAATAAGATTATTCTTCTTGCCGCATTGGCAGATATTTTTGCTTGTTTTAAGCAAAACTAACAAAAGTTTGATCATTTTTTCATAAAACAAGTCATAATATCTTAAAGGAGACATATTATTCCCCTTTTTACAATATGTAATATAAGTCTCTGGTGTCCCCAGAATGTGTCTGTGAAGTTTCAGCTCAAAATACTCCACAGATCATTTATTATATCATTTTGAAAATGCCTATTTTGAGTGGAAGCAGAAACATGCTGTTTTTTGGGCCTGTCTCTTTAAATGCAAATGAGCTGCTGCTCCCCGCCCCCTTTTCCAGAATAGAGCTGCGCCTTTACAGCTCAGACCTGCTAAACACATCTGGGTTAATCTTTTTCACCTTTCCTTGGTTGATTATACACATGATTATAGCACTTAAAACCTGGAAAAGTCAGATTTTCATGATATGTCACCTTTTAAGTCATTTTACTTGCAAAATAAATGCATCTTGATTCAAGAATGTTTAGATATTTATACTAGAAAACAAGACAAAAATACTAAGTAAGAAAATAATTTTTTGGAGTGTATGCATAAAAACGGCCCGCACAAAGGTTGAAAAAAAAAAAAAGCCCCTGGAAGTCAAATATTCACCCCTTCATTTCTGCCCCCTAGTGAGTGTTACAGATCAGACTCTCAGTGACTGGCATGTGTTTGTTTGCAGGCTGAGAGTCCACAGGAGCGCAGCCCAGGGGTGTTGAGTCGCATCGGGAGCTGGCTGTCGTGGGGTTGGGGCAGAGATGATCCCACGTCCCAAACACAGCAAGAGGAGGACCACGGAGAAACCAGAGCAGACGAGACGGATCCCGCAGAGGCGAGCCCAACCCTCGACCGGAATGCCAAACATCTGAGACTCGAACGCAGTCGGTCGCTTGAGAGGAGAAGGCCACCTGAACTCTTTGAACAAATGGGCCGGAGGAGATCTGGCAGGAGGAGGCGGAGCTCTCACGGGGATGGGGGCGGAGCTAAATCCCCAACCAATCCCCAACCTGTAAGCCCTGAAGCAACCAGTTTGACGAGCGGCCCGCGGAAAGCATGCGCTGACTCAGCTTTCGAGGAGGCAGCACACAGCCTTCCAGGAGCCTCTGGAGCAGAAGCGCCAGACTCAGGTAACCGTGAGGATGTCTTCCAAGCAGAATGGGCCCAAGCGCACCTGAGCGAAGACGCGGATTCGGATTCGCTCGTCCAAGCGGCGCTGGTTTATACAGATATGGACGAGGAACGAGTGGTGAGGCTGACGGAGAGCGCCGAATCCAAACGCAGGAGCATCAAAGTGTCTCACAGCGAGGTGGTCTTCGCCAAAAAGGTGGTGGTCGCCTCGGAGGAGCAAAAGGAAGATCAAAATGTGACTTTTAAAGACACCAAACAGCCAAGATTTGATGAAAGAGCCAGGTGAATTATACCTGTTTAACCTGTTCGTAGCTGTGCTTACAGGAATAACAAACACAATTCTCGGATTTGTGGGCTTTTTAAAGCTAAAGTTGCTGTTTGGGCTTGAATTTAAGTCGTGGGAGATCTAGCAGGACAAAACATCATTGAGAAATACACTGCAAAAAAATTATTTTCTTAGTATTTTTCTATCGTTTTCTAGTATAAATGTCTAAACGTTCTTGAATCAAGATTTACTTGACAAGTAGAATGACTTAAGATAATAAGTCTTGTTTTCTGAAAAAAAAAGATAAATATTTTGTTTTAAAACAAGCAAAAATATCTGCCAATGGGGCAAGAAAAATAATCTTAAATCAAAGGCTAAACAAGGTTATTTTTCTTACCCCATTGGCAGATATTTTTGCTTGTTTTAAGCAAAAACTAACAAAATGTAGTTTTTTTCTTAAAGCAAGACATAGTCATTTTACTTGTCCAGTAAATGCATCTTGATTCAAGAATTTTTAGATATTTATACTAGAAAACACGACAAAAATACTAAGTGAGAAAATAATTTTTTCAGTGTTTCAAAGCAAACGTTTCTGTAATCGAAGTTGAATGTGCTTCATCTAAACGTGGGAAATCTTTCTTGAAGATTATCAGGAGAAAACATCATGTGTCATGTTGTGAAATATGCTCTCTTACTAGGTCATTATCAGGTAGTTGTCATTCCTCTGGGCTGTAAAGTCATAGATTAAAACCTGTTGGTTAATGTTCCTGATCTGGTTCCAACAGCTCCCTGCATTGAAAAGAGGCATTTTCATAACAATTAAGTGTTTACATAGTTAAATGCCAGTTTTTCTAGATGTCAGGCTTGCGTTTTTCTACTGTATCCACCAGCAGCTCTTAAAGGAACAGTTCGCCTAAAAACCGGAAGGAGATATTTTGAAGTATATTCAAGATGTTCTTTTCCATTCAGCGAAAGTGATTTTTAATGCACGGTTTCTGCAGGTCTGAAAAAGTCTTAACGTTGCATTAAATGTTGCATGCGTTGCAAATGTCAGTATTTTTGTTTTGTTTTCCAGTACAAATATCTAAACAACCTTAAATCCAGATAGATTTACTTGAAATTCAAAGTGAAGAAATGAAGTCCTGTTGTTGTTGTTGTTTTTTTGAGAAATTGAACAAAATTAAGCGAGTTTATGCCTAAAACAAGAATAAATATCTGTCAATGGGGAATTAAAACTCGTTTTCCCTTTGAATTATGTTGATTTTTCTGCGCTTGTGGTCAGATATTTGTCCTTTATCATAAATTCACCCTATTTTGATACATTTCTCAAAAAACTACATATGTAAGTATGATATCATACATTGTGTTTCCTTTAATTTATTCCTTAATTATAACCTTAAGTCTTAAATTTGTCTTCATAAACTTGCAGAAACCCTGCAATGTCAAATTCCAAAAACGCATAACTATGACTCTTGCACTATATTCCAGTCATAATGTTAGTTCTGGGTGAGAAACAAACTAAAATGCATCCCACACTGCAAAAAATGATAAAAAAAAAAATTTGTTAGTTTTTGCTTAAAACGAGCAAAAATATCTGCCAATGAGGCAAGAAAAATAATATTGTTTAGCCTTTGAATTAAGATTATTTTTCTCACCCCATTGGCAGATATTTTTGTGTTAGTTTTTGCTTAAAACGAGCAAAAATATCTGCCAATGAGGCAAGAAAAATAATATTGTTTAGCCTTTGAATTAAGATTATTTTTCTCACCCCATTGGCAGATATTTTTGCTTGTTTTAAGCAAAAACTAACAAAATTGTGATACTTTTTTTTTTAGAAAACGAGATTTAATATCTTAAGTCATTTTACTAGTCAAGTAAATGCATCTTGATTCAAAAACGTTTAGATATTTATGCTAGAAAACAAGACAAAAATACTAAGCAAGAAAATAGTTTTTTGCAGTGCTTTTATGATAATCTAAGTTATTTGCCGATGGCTTTCCCTTCACACAACAATATATTACTTAAGTAGATTGCGCAAGAGTCATAACTTTTATGATGCATTTTTATACTTTTCTTGCTTTTTGGAGCTTAACAGTCATCTCTCATTCACTTTCAAAGGGAAAAGAGCACCAAGAGTAAGTGACGAGGGTGAATTAGCTTGTAATTTTGTTGTGCAGCTTTTGAAATTTTATCTTGCATCACGTGTTGGTCACTTTCAATAAAAGCGTTTTTCCAGAAAACGCAAACGAAGAAGGGGAAGTCAGTTTCTTAATGGATTAGTGGCTTGCTTCAAGCAGAGAAAGAACTGAAGAGAACAAACAAGGAAGAGCAGAGAAAGAGGAAAGAAAGACAATGAGTCAACAGCTAATGAAGGAAGTGGATGCTAATATGAATAGTGTGAACTTGATATTCAAACCAGTTTTGACCTTTATTCTTTGTTATTTTACAGATTTCCAGAGGACAGAGTGGACGGCACCAATGTGAAATCCAAGGGCCGAATCGCAGACAAGATCAGTCTGTTTGAGAGAGGAGCCACCAATGCAGTTAGCAGCTCCACAAACCTACGTCACCTGGATATTTCTCCAGCTCGAAATGTGGCCAGTCTTCTTTTCACAGAACGTGCCGGAACGCGGTCCAGTTCCGCACCTCCAAACCAATCAGTTAAAGAGAGGGTGATGAATTTTAATGCAGGACGGAGGGGAGAAGAGAAGCTGACGTTGCCGTCTGGTCGTACGCTGAACGAAGGACGTTCAAAAACGGCTGAAATATCTTGTTCCGGACGTTTTGAAAAATCTACAGCAAAGATAGATACTAGCAGAGACCCAAAGGTTAAATGCAAACCTCATTTAAACATCGATCAAACAGACTCCAAATCCTACAATGCAACACAAAGCACACCTGTATTGTCAGAGAGCACAAGTGACTCAATCATTGGGAATAAAGAGCTGGATTCTTTGCCAGTGGTTTCGTCACTTACTGATGAGACACCGCAGGTGAAATCTCCAAACCGGACCAGCTCGCGATCTAAAAAGCGTCGAGGCAAAGATCCGCTGAGCCCCACCAAACAAGAAATGGGTCAGGGTAAACAGGAGGTCAAGGACAAACCTCTTGTAGACATTGTAAAGACCACAGAGCAGTATTCTGATAAAGAAAGACCCAACTCTGCTTGGGAGGCCGTAAGCAAAACACCTAAAGTTCCTCCAAGGTTGGAGAAAGCAGCAGAAATTATGCAAAGCACAAAGGAAAAATCTGACTCTCCACATGCGGACACAAAATTTCCTAAAGAAATGAAAAGTAAGGATGAGAAGCAGCATGGTTCAAATGAAGAGAAGACAGAACGGACAGAGATTGACTCAAAAATGGAAGAGAAACCGAGAAACATCAACAAAAAGCAGCCTGTTCATGAGCGCTCAGAAAGACAGGGGCAGGGGAACAGAGACGTGATTGTAAACACATTGTTTGGAGAGTCAGGGAAACCAGATCCATCTGTGACAAAAGAAGAGAAACCACCGTCCCCAGAGGACCTGAATGAGGCCAACTCTAAAGACTGCTTTGAGCCAGCAAATAACAGCGCTGCAGCCTCCAGGAAAGATGCCATGCGAAACAGAGGGAGTGAGACGGATACGCTGGTCTTACCTGAGAAAAAAGCAGAAAACACCACTGAAAGTGACCCGAAATTGGTACAAAGGCCATCAGAGACAAACCAAAAGAGTCAAGAAAAAGACCGTTTGGCTGAGACTACCAATCAGAATGAGGAAAACAACCTTTTTACAGAAACATCTGAGACACACAAACATAGTACTGAAGTCAGTACATCAAAGCCAACCAAGCAGAATGTAGAAGAAGGAATTACAACAAAGACGACTAAACACGGTAAATCAAAGGACACCTCAGCTGTGAAACAAGAAGACACAACAATTATGCCAACCAGTGAGGGTAAAGAGACTCAGACTCCAGAGATAATCTCTGAATTGTCTGATCAGACTAAAGAAAACGCCACTACTACAAGTAGGACACCGGCAACACCAAACCCTGCACTGGTCAAAGACCAAAATAACCATATGGACGCCATAATTTCACCTCAAATTCCACCTAGAGAGGGAGGCGGTCCCAAAAGAGATGGGCCACCCCTACAAAACCAATCAGAGAGCGGAGAAGAACAGAAAACACTGGCAGTGTCTAATAAAAGGGATTTACAACAGCCCAGCACTGATATTAAAAAGGGAGGCACCAAAGAAACCCAGAGTAAAATCACCAGCACAGAAATTACATCCATAATAAATGGAGATATACACTCTGTACAGGCAGAAGATCAGGTTTCTGATTCTCTTAAACAGTCTGGAGAAAATACACTTGGCTCTAGCCTTGAAAATACCTTACCTGAAATACCATCCAATAATGACAATCTACCTCTGAGTTCAGCAAAAAAGAAGCCCACTTCCTTGATATCCAAAGTCATTGAAGCATCCACCGAGCAATCTGGCCAGGTCACCGCTAAACCAGCCTTAAAAGATGATACAGCTTTCAGTGATAACAAGAACACAACCTTGTCAAACTCGGCTAATAAAAAAACAAATAATGAAAAGACCACTCCTCCACCAGCCTCTACCAATGTAATAGACACTCCTGAAAAACCAACAACTATCGAAAAAAACACATCTCCACAAGCCTCAACCAATGAGAAAACCTCCACTTTGCCTGCCTCAACTAAAGAAAAGACTACAGGTTTATCAGCATCAACCACTGAGACGATATCTGCTACATCAGGCTCCAATGATGACAAAAACAAACCTCCACCAGCCTCAACTGATGAGACAATCTCAGTTTTGCCTGCCCCAACTAATGAAAAGACCATGCCTCCAAGAGCATCAGCTAATGAACAGACCACGCCTCCAACAGCATCAGCCAATGAAAAGACTACACCTCCAATAGCATCAGCCATTGAAAAGACTACACCTCCAATAGCATCAGCCATTAAAAAGACTACACCTCCAACAGCATCAGCCATTGAAAAGACTACACCTCCAATAGCATCAGACATTGAAAAGACTACACCTCCAACAGCATCAGCCAATGAAAAGACTACACCTCCAACAGCTTCAGCCAATGAAAAGACTACACCTCCAACAGCATCAGCTAATGAAAAGACCATGCTTCCAACAGCATCAGCTATTGAAAAGACCACGCCTCCAAGAACATCAGCCAATGAAAAGACTACACCTCCAATAGCATCAGCCATTGAAAAGACTACACCTCCAACAGCATCAGCTAATGAAAAGACCACGTCTCCAACAGCATCAGCTATTGTAAAGACCACGCCTCCTAGAACATCAGACAATGAAAAGACTACACCTCCAACAGCATCAGCCATTGAAAAGACTACACCTCCAACAGCATCAGCCATTGAAAAAGCCACGCCTCTACCAGTACCAACCATTGAGACAACCTACACATTATCAGGATCAGCTAATGAACAAACCACACCATCTGCCTCATTAACCGTTAGGTCTCCCTCCACTTCATTAGGTATAGATGATTACAAGAACAAACCTCCATCAACATCAACCATTGAAACAATCTCCACTTCATTAGTCTCCAGTGATGACAAGAACAAACCTCCACCAGCCTCAGCTAATGAAAAGAACACAACTCAATCAGAGTCAACTAACAGAAAGACAACTAATAAAAAGACCATATCTCCACAAGCCTCAACCAATGACACAACCTCCACTTTGCCTGCCTCACCTAAAGAAAAGACTACACCTCCACCAGCATCAACCACTGAGACAATCTCTGCTACATTAAGCTCCAGTGATGACAAAAACAAACCTCCACCAGCCTCAACTGATGAAAAAACTACATCTTCATTAGACTCAACCAATGAGAGAACCACACCTCCACCAGCCTCAACTAACGAGACAATCTCCGCTTTGCCCGACCCAGCTAATGATAAGACTATGCCTCCAACAGCCTTAACTAATGAAAAGAACACAACTACATCAGATTCAGCTAATAAAAGGACAACTAATGAAGAGACCATATCTCCACAAGCCTCAACCAATGAGACAACCTCCAAGAAAAAGACTGCACCCCCACCAGCATCATCCACTGAGACAATCTCTGCTACATTAGGCTCCAGTGATGACAAAAACAAACCTCCACCAGCCTCAATCAATGAGACAATCTCTGCTTTGCCTGACCCAGCTAATGATAAGACTATGCCTCCAACAGCCTTAACTAATGAAAAGAACACAACTACATCAGATTCAGCTAATAAAAGGACAACTAATGAAGAGACCATATCTCTACAAGCCTCAACCAATGAGACAACCTCCAAGAAAAAGACTGCACCTCCACCAGCATCATCCACTGAGACAATCTCTGCTACATTAGGCTCCAATGATGACAAGAACAAACCTCCACCAGCCTCAACTGATGAAAAAACTACATCTTCATTAGACTCAACCAATGAGAGAACCACACCTCCACCAGCCTCAACTGATGAAAAAACTACATCTTCATTAGACTCAACCAATGAGAGAACCACACCTCCACCAGCCTCAACTAACGAGACAATGTCCACTTTGCCTGGCCTAGCTAATGAAAAGACCACGCTTCCAACAGCATTAGCCAATAAAAAAGCCAAACCTCTACCAGCACCAACTATTGAGACAACCTCCACATTATCAGGCTCAGGTGATGAAAAGACCACACCACCAGAAAATGCTGCACCTCAACCAGCTTCAACCAATCCACCAATCTCCATTGATATCACTACTAAAAATGAGAGGACCACAGCACGACCAGCGTCATCCTCTTTCCCGCTAACCTCTATCAATAGAGATAATATAACTTCACTTCCTTCATCCAAAGAAAATACAATATCACCACCAGACTATGACAGTAGGAAGGCCACACCTTCACCAGAAAACCCCTCAGGTCCTGAAGTCTCAGCTAAAGAGAAGATCTCCAGTAAATCTACGACTCCATCCACAAGAAAAAAGGAATTCATCCTCAAACCCTTTCTCCTTCCAGAAATCCCCGCTGTGCCAGGCAGCTCCTCCCAGAGCAGGGACTCTCCATCTAGCTGGCTTGATGTGGATCACAGACGTCCTATAAGGAAGAAGCTGTTGATTTCAGAACCCAAGCTTAGCTCCTCTGTGAGTGAGACCAACCTCCTGAACACATCGGGAGAGTTTGACCCAGATGACTTCATTGCAAATGTGAAAAGGCTAGCGATGCCATTCAATCTTCCTCTACGCAAACACAACAAACATCGCCTGCAAGCACCTCCATTTGCCATGCCTGCCATCAAAGAAGACCGCTTTGAGAAACCCTTTGATCCGGAGGAGTTCCAGCATGGCTTGAGGCGTAGGAGGAAATTCATTTTGGATTTGCCTCCCAGTTCAAAATCAAAAGCAGCAGAAGTCAAGGAGGTGGAGATCAAACCTAAGCGAGAGAGCATCCTCACGAGGTCCCTGATCTTCCAGAGAGCAAGGAAGGAGTCTGAAACGGAAGAGGAAGAAAAAGAGGAGGGATCAGATGAAAATACAACAGAACCACTGAAGGCAAAGTCTCGTTTGGAGAGGTGCTCTATTGTCAGCATTCTACGCAGCCCCAGCAAAGGGAGACGAATGGAGTTTTTAAGCCCCACTGAGTGTCCTTCAGGTGGGCTGTTATCACCCAGCGATGGTTCTGGGTCTACAGCACCTCCACAATCACAGCTAGCCCCAACTACAGAACCACCCAAATTGGTCCCAGTAGAGGAAACCCTAGCTAAGAATAACAGCCGCGATACACCGTCTGGTTCTCATGTTATTCTAAAACCTAAAACGGACATTGGGCCTGCCATGACACCTGACCTCAAAGCAACTTCAAGAGACCCCACAGTCACTCTTTTAACAGACTCTAATGCTCCTTTTCCTCCTAGTGGTACCCAAACTAGTTCCCAGGTTGTACCGAAACCTACGAAAGATGATGGACCTACCCTGGCGCCTGACTTGAAAGCAACTTCAGCAGACCCTTCAGTTTCCATGTTTACAGACACTAATGCTCCTAATCCTCCCAATGGTTCCCAGACCAGTTCCCAGGTTCTGTTGAAACAAACAAAATATGATGGACCTACCCTGACACCTGACTTGAAAACAACTTCATTTGACCCTCCAGTCACCATGTTAACAGACACTAATGCTCCTCCACCTAGTTGTACCAAATCTGGTTCCCAGGATCATGGACCTGCTGTGGCACCTGACCTCAAAACAGCTCCGAGAGACCCCACAGTCACTATGTTTACAGACACTAATGCTCCTTCTCCTCCCGATGGTTCCCAGACTAGTTCTCAAGTTGTGCTGAAACATATGAAAGATATTGGACCTACCCTGGCACCTGACTTGAAAACAACTTCAGCAGACCCTCCAATCACCATGTTAACAGATACTAATGCTCCTCCACCTAGTTGTACCCAGTCTGGTTCCCAGGATGATGGACTTGCCATGACACCTGACCTTAATGCTTCTACTCCTCCCAATGGTTCCCAGACTAATTCCCAGGTTGTACTGAAACCTACTACAGATGATGGACCTACAATGACACCTGACTTGAAAATAACTTCATTAGACACTTCAATCACCACGTTAACAGACACTAATACACCTCTAACATCTAGTTATACCCAGTCCGGTTCCCAGGATGTTCTAAAACATATCAAGGATGATGGACCTGCTATGACACCTGATCTCAAAACAGCTCAGAGAGACCCCACAGTCACTATGTTTACAGACACTAATGCATCACTGCTTCTCAACGGTACCCAGACTGGTTCTGATGTTGTTCTGCGACCTGATGGACCGACCCTGAAAACAACTACAGTAGATGCTAATGCTCCTCCACCATGTCCTTCCTTTGATGACATCAAGTTGCCTAGTTTCCTGGAGAAATTTCTTCCAAAGGAACCTGAAAACGCTCAACCATCAAATAAGATCAACCCACTGGTCAGCCATCCCTCATTCATCACACTGACCACAGCAACAACACATACTTGCATACGTTCATATCCTAAGCTAGTGCTAAGTGATGTTTCACAATAGTGTTGTTCTGTGTGTATATATTTGTGTGTGCTGGTTAGGTGGCTAGAGAAAGTGCCTCAATACCTGCTCTAGTGGATCTGAATAAGGCTGTTGACGTAGCTGATGGGAAGATCCCAGAAGTTACGGTTCCACCAGCACCTGTAGTTCCAGCGGCTCAAATCCCTCAAGCTAAACCTCAGAGAGAACTACCAAATGTATGAGTCAATAACCAATGCGTATTTTCTTTGTAAATGCTAAATATGAATTTGTTCATAGCTGCAGTTGCTCTGCATGCCTGCTTGTTATTAATGCCTGTCCATATTGGTATGTGGCAAATGTGAGAGATTTGAAGTTTTAACATGTTGACAGGGTAAAATCTTTGGGTTATCTTTGAAACTTGTTTGTCTGCTTGGTTAAATATTATGAAACATTTGCAAAACACTTACCGGCATTACTCTTATAACCACAGCGTTTTGTCTTTCAGATTACAGCTGCTCGTGGAATCCACCGGCGTCCTGGAAAGGTTTGCCAGAATTTCAAACTCGTGACCTAACAGAGAATTTCAGATATGGAAACCTGCTATATTTGCGTAACATTTTATTTATGCTTTAAATATGTGAGTAAAAATATGTGACTTCTTGGGCCCTAATTTGATGTTTTGTGGCTGTCAGATTGTGATATTTGAGCACCATCAGTTCAGCGGTCAGTCCTTTGAGTTCTACAGGGATCAACCTGATGCCACACACATGCAACTGTCCAGTGTCATATCTATTAAAGTGGTCAGAGGATGGTAAGTGGCATCTATGGAGAACAAATACTGGGCCTTTCAGTTGATTAGATTTAACTGTGCATTTTGGCCTCTCATAGCTGGATATTATATGAGAAACCGGGATTTGAGGGACGATGCATCGCTCTGGAAGAGGAAGGAGTTACTGAACTGCCCAATCAATGGGCAGAAGAGGGTGAAGAAATATCTGCCCCTGTGGTCATTGGCTCAATTCGACTGGCTGTCAGAGTAAGTGACCTTCTTGAAAGGATTGTTTTGAACACAATAACCGCATTCTGAAGGTCAGAAGAGATGGGAGTGACCGCTGTGTTTTCCTGTATGTGTCTGCAGGACTACACTCCGCCCCGGATAGAGCTGTTCACCGAGCCTGCTGGCAGAGGCAGAAGCTCTGAGTATGTGGATGACACAGAGGAAGTGGGCAGTTTTAGCCGTCCTCAGAGCACCGGCTCCATCAAAGTCCACAGTGGTCTGTAAGTTCTGCTTAGACCTTGAGCGTTTACTGGGGTGTGTGTTTGGACGCTGTTGTTGGGTGTGTGTTGTCAAAGTGAAGCTCTTGGCATGCATATCTTTACTGAGTACTTACAAAAAATGTGTTATGATTCACTTTCTGTTTTGGAGCCAAAAAAAGAAATGTACTAAAAATCAACCAAAATAACCAATCAATCAAAGCAACCAACGCAAAAATCAGTCAAAACAGCAACATGCTGAACATGAATCAAAACTCACAGCCCAGAGTGTACTTCGGCCGTCCACGTTCCGCGAAGGTCCGCCTGATGCAATTTTCCACATCAGAAATGTCCACAGACTTCCACGCACACTGTCCATGTGCAGCCCAATTTTTGTGTCCATGCGGATGGTCTGCATAAAACAGCATCTTGAGGCCCCTTACCAAAAAGAAGTATACTTCAAGTTTATTTTATTAAGCATACTTAAGTAAAGTTCAAGTATATTTTTAAGTATACTTTATGTAGCAAGTATACAAATATCAGTGTACTAGTAGTATACTTGTAAGTGTTCTATTTCAATACTCTTTGGGACTAAATTGGCCCACTTTCTAGTATATAAATGTATACTTTTAAGTATACTTTAAGTATAACAGTAGTAAACTTTGAGTACACAACTAGTTTACATCTATGTTTTTAAGTTTGTACTGCAACTATACTAAAAGTGAACTTGTAGGTATACTAATAATTTACTAATTAAATACTTGTAGCATTTTTAATACATTGAAGTATAGTCTCAGTAAACTACTAGTTTAGTAGTTTTATTCTGTCAAAGTGAAGCTCTTGGCATGCATATCTTTACTGAGTACTTACAAAAAATGTGTTATGATTCACTTTCTGTTTTGGAGCCAAAAAAAGAAATTTACTAAAAATCAATCAAAATAACCAATCAATCAAAGCAACCAACGCAAAAATCAGTCAAAACAGCAACATGCTGAACATGAATCAAAACTCACAGCCCAGAGTGTACTTCGGCCGTCCACGTTCCGCGAAGGTCCGCCTGATGCAATTTTCCACATCAGAAATGTCCACAGACTTCCACGCACACTGTCCATGTGCAGCCCAATTTTTGTGTCCATGCGGATGGTCTGCATAAAACAGCATCTTGAGGCCCCTTACCAAAAAGAAGTATACTTCAAGTTTATTTTATTAAGCATACTTAAGTAAAGTTCAAGTATATTTTTAAGTATACTTTATGTAGCAAGTATACAAATATCAGTGTACTAGTAGTATACTTGTAAGTGTTCTATTTCAATACTCTTTGGGACTAAATTGGCCCACTTTCTAGTATATAAATGTATACTTTTAAGTATACAATTTTACACTTTTTAAAAAATTGGATGGAAAAGATTCATACAATGCAGTGTATATTCTACATTGTGCATAACAACACAAATGTTGTTAGATGTGGAAATTTACGTTCTCATACACTTTGATATCATGCTGCTTTTATCTGTATCCGATGACTACTGAAACATCAGAAACTGATCGTGCTCCCTTTCTATATAGTCCATCACCTCAGCTGAGAGGTGAAAAATATCTCTAGTGCTGCTCGCACGCCTCGGAGGTGATGGCTCAGTCAGCTTCACTAAGATCTTTTGGACTGGAATGAAGCACACATCCTTTCCCTTACCAAAAAGTAGTATACTTCAAGTTTATTTTAGTAAGTATACTTAAGTAAAGTTCAAGTATATTTTTAAGTATACTTTATGTAGTAAGTATACAAATATCAGTGTACTAGTAGTATACTTGTAAGTGTACTATTTCAATACTCCTTGGGACTAAATTGGCCCACTTTCTAGTATATAAAAGTATACTTTTAAGTATTCTTTAAGTATAACAGTAGTAAACTTTGAGTACACAACTAGTTTACATCAATATTTTTAGCTTGTAGTGCAACTATACTAAAAGTGAACTTATAGGTATACTGATAGTTTACTAATTAAATACTTGTAGTAGCATTTTTAGTACACTTTGAAGTATAGTCTCAGTAAACTACTAGTTTAGTAGTTTTATTCTGCAAGTATACTTGTAAGTTTTCTTTAAGTGAACTTTAGATCATACTTTAAGTATACTACTATGTCCCTATTTAGGTATTCATTTGTATATATTTTGTTATATGAATAGGCTATCTGAACATACAAACGTCAAAAGAAAGAACGGGGTATTTGCTTGTAAACAAAAACATTTTATTCTAGCTTCATGCATTCTTTTTTTTAAACACTTGAATGTGGGTAAGTTTCATAAATAAAAAAATAAAAAAATAAACAACATTTTTAACAAAAAGTTGAAAAAAGACAATGAATTGGATTCAGAATGAATTCAAACACCCCAAAGCTTGACAGTCATTACCTCTTCATTGGTCGACAGTTTATTTCATAACGTTACACAGTTTTGATGCTGTTTTATGTCTGATCGTGTGACATTACATGTGGAAGCATCTGTTATTTCGGTTTCTTCTTGGCTTGTTTCTGTACAGAAGATGTGTAATAGCGCCCCCTACCGTACAACAATGAAAACATGGATTCCCGGAGCACAAGTAGCTATAGCTCAAATATATTTAGACTTTTTCTAAGTATAAGTCAAGTATACTTAAATGTAATTTTAAGTATATTTCTGAGAAGTACATAAAAAGTAGACTGAAAGTTTACTTTCCTATTTTTAGTTTAAAAGAAGTATACTAATGAATAAACTTTTTCGTAAGGGGCCTGGGTATACTACTTTTTACGCGTTCTGCTCTGTCTCGCGCACAGCTTTCAAAGTCTACTCAATCACGGACAAGCACGAACGGACGAGTTCGACATATGCGCAGTGCCACCTAGTGGACTCGTTCTGTCTGCGCTGTTGTGCGCGGACACAAAAATTGGTGTCCGTTATTTTTGACCAAAGTAATATCAAGGCGACCAAAGATTTTAACGAAACCACCGTTGGAAGAGCTGTCATATTTTGTTCATGTTTGGAAAGCTGTTTCGCAGATGGCGCTACTGAAGGGTTGCCATGTCCACTTATTATAAGCGATGCTTGTTAAGCATCTTTGAGCTAAAATTGGCTTATTTCCAAGGTAATGCTTTAAGATTTAAGTTCATTATGGCCTTGTTCTTATTTGCCATTTTTTATAGCAATATCTGGCAACCCTGGGTCAAGACATGCCTCCTTCCCTGTGATTTCTTACATTACGCTTTTAAATATGTCATTAACTAGTTGTTCAGTTCTGTAAACACTGTAAATGCGGTTGCCACTATCTGATTTTTTCGGAAGTCAGTTCGATTGTAGAATGCGGTCGACGCTCTTAAATTATCTGGCCACCTTAAATTACTGAACTGTGTACATACAGAGCAGAGTTAAGTACTAAAAGGTGAACTGACTACCAAATTTAGATGCAGTATGTACAGTACATGGCCAGTGTTGTGAGAACATAATGACTGGATTCCTGATGATTCATGAGTATGTTATGCTTTATGAGAGCGTTTGAGTCACAGCATTAGTCACTCTGAACCATATAAACAATATCAGAGCCACATAATCCAGCACTCAAACTATAGCACAAAAACTCATTCTGATGCTCTCAGTAGTGTTTATAACAGACAGAAAGGGGAAAATAGCATGCTAATAATTATTAAAGTGGCACAGAGTGACAATACTTGTCTTCATTTTAAACACTTGATCTATTGTTTCTGTTTTGTAATGTTTTGTTTGAAAAGTGTCCAAAGACTTTATAGGCCCACAGTATGTGAAAGTCTCGTGTGTGTGCATGATAAACAGAGACAGCAGAACAGGACAGTGAGGGTGACAAAAATACAGAGGAAAGACAGGAATAATCAGGAAAAGAGCTGAACGACTGATGAAAGCTATGGCAGGAATGTGAGCAGGAATAGAAAGAGAAAATCACAGATTGTTGAGGAGGGTGGAGGTGAATGATTTACAGCAGCATATGTCCAGGTGAACCAGCAGAACACAACAACAACTACCAATAATATTCACAGTACAGCATATTCATATTTGTTTATTTTAAACCAAAATACCATTTAATGGAACAAAAGTCAGTTGTGTTTGTTTGTGTAGTCAGTCTGTAGATTCTGTTGAAAGATGAAGCAGATAAAAACTACTGAACACGACAGAAAACATGAGGCTCATGTGAGCAGTTACTCATTTCATATGCAAAGAAAGCCAGATGAACTGTTGGAAAATGGTCATGAAAAACTATTTTTTAAGGTTTCATAGACTTTTTATGCAAGTGGAAAAAACTGACACATGAACATTTTTAACATGTCGGAGAGTGGAAAATTGTCATAACTCAATTTACATTTTTTTTATTTGTTTATTTTATTTATTTATTTTTTAATCTTTATTTATTTATTTATTTTATAAACTTTGTGTAAATGGACAAATCCCAGGAAAACAAGCAATCATTAATATTTTTAAACATGTCAGAGAGAGTGGAAAATGGTCCCCAAAATTTTTTTAAAGTTTTCATAAACTTTATGATTATGCAAGTGGAAACACCTCAGCAAAACAAGCAAACGTTATTATTTTTAATGTGTTTTACAGTTTTAGTTTGTTTTACACTTCAGGTGTAAAAACCTCACTATAATTATATATATATATATATATATATATATATATATATATACAGTATATATTAAAGTTGTCCTAAGACAAGAACGCATTTTAGGACAACTTTGATAAAAGGTTTCGATCCACTTCAAATGTTGACTAGTATATATATATATAATTTGTTTTTATAAACTCTGTGATAAGCGGAAAACAAGCAAACATTAACAGTTTAACGTGTCAAAGAGAGTGGAAAATGTTCCTCAAAAAAACTAAATTTTAAATTTATTAAAACAGTTTTCATAAACCTTAGGTTTTATAAGTATGAAGTGTAAGTAGTTCATAAAAAACAAGCAAACATTAACATTTTTTACATCAGAGAGTGTGGAAAATGGTTATAAAAACAAAATTGTACGTTTTTTTTAAAGTTTTCATAAATTTTATGTTCATGCAAGTGGAACAACGTCGGGAAAACAAGCAAACTTTAATATTTGTAACATTTCAGCGAGTGTGTGAAATGGTCTTTAAAACTAAATTGGAAAGTTTTTATGTTTTCATGATTATGTGAGTGTAAAAACCTCAGGGAAAAAAGCAAACATTAACATTTTTAACAAGTCACAGAGAATGAAAATGTCCATTAAACAAAACCTACATTTTATATTTAAAAAACCATTCAAACATTAGTGTTTTTAACATTGCTTCCCCGATCGTTAGGGTTAGGGTTAGGGTTAGGGTTAGGGTTAGGGTTAGGGTTAGACCGATTTTGGTCAGTGAGGTGTTAAATAGTACCGCCAAAAACTAGTGAAGTCACTTCAAAGTCACCTGACTTGACTAATAGCCGAGGGACTGGTTGATGAGATGAGTGATCTGTTATGATCAGGTGACGGATGATTGACAGCTGAGCTCTCTGCTCCACAGCTGGCTGGTTTACAGTGATCCGGGTTTCCAGGGTCTGCTGGCGGTTCTGGAGGCCGGAGAGTATCCGTTCCCGGAGGACTGGGGTTTCCCATCGCCTGCGGTCGGCTCTCTGAGGCCTGTGCGAATGGTACGGCTCACAGCATAACGTTATTCACCCGTCTGCAGTCATCACGCAGTGTGTCACCAGAACTGTGCTTGTTTTCCAGGGCGCTCTGAAGGTCGAGAAGCCAAACGCCGTCAAGGTTTGTGAGTTTCAGTGTCTTCACTAGAAAAAAATGATGTTCTTCCTCAGTATTTTCTGTCCTGTTTTCCAGTACAAATACTGAAACGTTCTTAAGTCATCATACATCTACTGCAGATGCACCATGACTGAATATATGAATATATGAATGCATTAAATTTACGTGTTTATGCTTAAAACAAGAACAAATATCTGCCAGTGGAGTCAGAAAAATCAACTGAATTCAAAGGGAAAACACGTTTATTTTTCTGACTCCAATGGCAGATATTTGTTTCTTGATTCAAGTACACTGTAAAAATAATTTTTCATAGTAAAATTCAGATTATTGGAGTATGTTTTACAAGGAAATACAGTTTCAGTCTTTCTACTTCAAAATTTCATGTTTAATTCAATGAGTTACATGCTGTTTCTTTGTAATTATTTGTGAAATTTACTAGCAATTTCGGAGTTAAATTCTTTTCATATAATATTAATTTTTTTAAATAAATTTGTATTAAAATTTTTTTTTTTTACTTTGCTTTTCCATTCATTCCCCCCCCCCGGATTAACAGCCGGATTAACAACCACAAAATAATATAATATATGTAATACAAATGACAAATGTTTTAAATTAAAAAATTTTATTATACACTAAAATTTATATTATATTGTATATATAATAATTAGATAATCAAACACAATAAACAATCTGTATTATGTATATTATGTTATATATGTACATATATTATCTCGTATTATATTGAAAATGTTATATAATAATGTAAAATGAATATATTATATAATATATAATAAAATATATAAATCTTGTTTTCCGAAAAATGTATCAAAATTAAGTGACTTTACGCTTAAAACAAGAAAAAATGCTTCCTAATGAAGAGAAATAATGTTGTTTTCCCTTTAAATTAATTTTATTTTTCTGACTCCATTGACAGATATTTGTTCTTGTTTTGCGCTTAAACTTACTTAATTTTGATACAGCTTCATTTCTTGATTTAAGATATTTGCACTGAAAACAGGACATAAACGCTGAGGAAGAGTATGATTTTCTTCATCGCTCTGTCTCTCTCAGGCAGTGTTGTATGAAAAGGCCGGTCTGGAGGGCCGATGTGTGGAGGTTCAGGGAGACGTCTTCTCCTTCGCCAGGACAGAAACGGACCTGAGCGACCCGGACAATCACGGACTGAACTGTGTGGAGTCACTCAAGATCCTCGGAGGCCTGTGAGTCCCAAACTCTGAGGTTTTTCCTCAGTATGTCTGTCTTGTTTTCCATTGCAAACATTTAAACATTCTTAAATCAACAAACTTTGTTTATCAAGCTAAATGACTGGACATGTTAAGTCTTAAAAAGTGATCAAAATGAAGTGATAGAAAAATAAATTCAGCCATTGGCAGATATTCGTTCTTGTTTTAAGCATAAACTAACTTCATTTTGATCACTTTTTAAGAAAACAAGACTTGAAGTAATTTTGCTTCTCAAGTAAAGTTTGTTCATTTAAAGGGGTCATGAAATGCCTTTTTTAAATTATTTTATATTTCCTGAGGTGCACTTATGATCTTAGTATGGTTTCTTCATCAAAAATGGTCATAATTTAGATATAAACAGTAATTTTCTACTCTGATTTGAGCACTCTGTTAGAAGGGGCGTGTCTACTGTGAGACTTCAATGGGAACGCCCACTGCTGTGATTGGCTAACATCTGTGCATATGAAATGAGCATCTGCATTTTTACAATAACAGCCACCAAGATGAACTAATTTCTTTAGCTAACAGTAGTATGGCTCGTGTGATTGATGGACAGACGTGAGTTGTTCAGACACGCCTCCTTGATTACATATGTCGATGATGCACATTAAGGGGCGTGTCGAGGAAAATCATGACGTCAGTTTCAAATCTGGACGATTCAGAAGAGTAGAAAAGAATAATTCATATTTTAAACGGGGGCGTTAGTTCTGAGCTCTGAAATTTGCAGTGATTTTTTTTCATAGTAACCTCTCATATGTGTAAATGTCAAGTACAGTTTGATTCTTCAATTAATCACCCCTTTAAGGATGTTGTAGATATTTGCACTGAAAAACAAGACAAAAATAATAAAGAAAAGAAAATCGTGGTTGGTTGATTGAACTCTACAACATTAAAACCCCCATTAACTGTGGTAAAATGACTGTTGAAAAGTGGTAGAGTTACTTTTAAAAGTAATTCATTACAATATTGCATTACTCCCTAAAAAAGTAACTAATTATGTTACTTAGTTTCATTTTGTGTAAAGTAATGCATTACTTTTGCGTTGCATTTTCTCATTCATTTCTCAACTGCCATTACTTATTTGAAGAAGTATCTCAGATATTTTATTGTAAATTTAAAAGTAATGCGTTAAGTTACTGGTTACTTAAAAAAGTAATCTGATTATGTAACTAGTGTTACTTGTAATGCGTTACGTTAGTAGTTACTTGTAAAAAAAAAGTAATCTGATTACGTAACTAGCATTACTTGTAGTGCGTTGTTACTAGTTATTGTAAAAAAGTAATCTGATTACGTAACTAGTGTTACTTGTAATGTGTAACGTTACTAGCTACTTGTAAAAAATTTATCTGATTACGTACCTAGCATTACTTGTAATGCGTTACATTACTAGTTATTGTAAAAAAGTAATCTGATTACGTAACTAGCGTTACTTGTAATGTATTATGTTTCTAGTTACTTGTAAAAAAGTAATCTGATTACGTAACTAGCATTACTTGTAGTCCGTTATATTACTAGTTATTGTAAAAAGTAATCTGATTACGTACCTAGCATTACTTATAATGCATTACGTTATTTGTTATTGTAAAAAAAGTAATCTGATTACGTAACTAGCGTTACTTATAATTCGTTACATTACTAGTTACTTGTAAAAAAGTAATCTGATTATGTAACTTACGTTACTTGTAATGTACCCCCGACACTGCTGTTGGATGCTTTACTCTCGTCTCGTCTCAGGTGGGTGGGATACGATGGCGAGGGTTTTGAGGGGCAGCAGTTCGTTCTGGAGGAAGGAGAGTATTTGGACTGGACAGACTGGGGCGGGACGGGGGAAAAACTCCTCTCTCTGCGGCCCGTTTTCATGGTGAGTCTCATCTTTACTAGCCATCGGTCACCACGCTTCACTAGCTGGGTGATTAGTCAGGTTGTGCTTTAGCTGTCAGAGTGTTTGAAGCGTCCTGAAGCACTTTTTATTTTATTTAATTACACTTAAAAAAATGTTCAAAGATTACTGGAGAAAATACTATTTCAGGCTTTCTACTTCAAAATTTCATGTCTAAATTCAATATGTTACTTATTGTTTCTTTGAAATCATTTTCACTCAGAAATTGCAAATAAGTTTCACAAATTATTACAAAGTAAATCCTTCACCGGATTTGTCTAGTGTACTACCTCCTGAGATTTTACATTTACATTTAGTCATTTAGCAGACGCTTTTATCCAAAACGACTTACAAATGAGGACAATAGAAGCAATCAAAATCAACAAAAGAGCAATGATATGCAAGTGCTATAACAAGTCTCAGTTAGCTTAATGCAGTACACGTAGCAAGTTTTTTTTTTAATTATATAATAAATAAAATGAAAACAAATAGATAGAATACAAAAAGATTAGAAAAGCTAGTTTTTTTTTAAGAAAATAAGCAGTAAATGAATAGAGTGTAAGTCTAAAAGGGACAAGATTTTTTTTAAAGAATATAATTAGAATAGAGAGTGCTAGAGTTAGAGGATCAAATAAAGAGCAGCTATCGTCGGATCATCAGGATGGAATGAGATGTAGAGTTGAGTGTCATCAGCATAGCAGTGACATGAAAATCCATGTTTCTGAATGACAGAACCTAGTGATGCCATGTAGACAGAGAAGAGAAGTGGTCCAAGAACTGAGCCCTGAGGCACCCCAGTAGTTAGACGTTGCCACTTGGACACCTCACCTCTCCAAGATACCTTGAAGGACCTATCTGAGAGGTAAGACTCAAACCACTGGTGTGCGGTTCCTGAGATGCTCTTTGCCAATAGGGTTAATAGGAGGATCTGGTGGTTAACCGTGTCAAAAGCAGCGGACAGATCCAGCAAGATAAATATTGAAGATTTGGAATCCGCTCTTGTCAGTCTTTTACGGCTTCAACAACTGAGAGCAAGGCAGTCTGGGTTGAATGTCCACTTCTGAAGCCAGACTGGTTGCTGTCCAGGACGTTGTTCTGTGTGATAAAGGCTGAGACTTGGTTGAACACAGTTCATTCAAGTGTTTTTGCAATGAAAGGAAGAAGGGAAACCGGTCTGTAGTTCTCTAAAAGAGATGGGTTAAGGGTGGGTTTCTTAAGTAGTGGGGTTATATGAGTTTGTCTAAATGCTGAGGGAAAAACACCAGTGTGAAGGGATGTGTTAATGATGTGAGTGAGTGCAGGTACAACTGGTACAACAGGTACAACAATAACAGGTATGACTACAACAAGTACAACTTTTAGGTTAATATTTCAATATTTTTCCCTGTATTTTGTAAAAAGCTAAGTTATTTTGCAGCATTTAACTGGTAAATGAAACATTTTAAATTTTTTAAACATTTTAATCTTAAATTTCACCATTGCTTTTCAATTTATTTTACTCTAACAAAAACAAATAAAAAGAATAAAATATAAATGCTATATATATTTATATATTACATATATATATATATATATATATATATATATATCATAAAATAATGTAATTTTAAAATCTAACAATAATAATAATAATAATAATAATAACAACAACATACGTACGAAGTAAAATATTCTATATAGAGAAAACTAAATAATATAAAATAAAATTATATTTCAATAATTTAACAACACATCTGCATGTTCACAGTTCTTTGATGACTGTTAACGGTCACATGATATGCAAGTAAACAAACAAAAGATTTCTTTTTTTGGTAAGTGTTTTATTTTCATTGCTTTTATTTGAAATTAAAGCAAATATTTAATTTTACATTTATATGATTTAATTAATTATTAGCTGTTCATCAGCTCACAAACCCCAATTTGGGGAATTGTTCCTCTTTCGAAAGTCACTTTGTAAGCATCTACTAAATGCACGAATGTAAATTGGAAATTCTGCCTTAATTCATCCCCTTTAAAGCACCGGTGTGTGCAGCCATAAAAACACTGAGTGCTCTGTTCTGTTCAGCTCAGTTCCTCTCTGTCCAGCTGTTTTTGAACTCATAAACACATGCTGTGTAAACATGTCTAAGAAACACACCTGTGATCGAGATCAGGTGAACCCCAAACCAGCTCAGTTACTCAGTTAGGATCAATTCAGAAAAAACAGTTTTGCACATCTCATTTTCTTTCTTAATGGAGGTTGTACACGTCTCTGATCTCCATCAGTCATTATTACTGAAGTTAGTAAACAGCCAAATGCATTATGCAACCTCCATCAGCACATGCCTGCAGTGTTTATGAGCTCTGGACACACAATAGCAGGAAATAGCAGAACCAGAACCAAACGCTTGCCAACTGCTTTCTAATTTAAGACAACCGAAGGCTGTGAAATGCTTTGTTTTTCAGGATTTCTCCTCCCCTCATATGAAGATGTTTAGTGAGCCGGATTTCTCAGAGCGCGGCGTCAGCATCGACCTCCTGGAGCCGCTGGATAACGCCATGAACACACGCTACGGCCCGCAGACGCGCTCCATTGAGGTCCTGGCCGGAGTGTGAGTTGCTTTCTTCATTACAGAGTCCAGAAGTAAAAACTCACCTTAGAGAATTTGGTTTTTAATAACTTATAAACCATTAAATAGCTCCAGGATTGTTAATCGATGGTACATGTTTCTGTTTAAACCATCAGTTTGCATTATTTCAACATATTTTTAAAATAATCCCATTTAACGGCAGAATTTGTGGTGAACAACTACATTACCCATGATGCTGTTCAGAAAATTCCACCAATCAGAGAGTAGCGGTGAGCGCTTTAGCTCTGCCCACTCCCATGAAGCATTGTGCAATATAAACTTGCAATAGTGAGGAACAAAAGTCAGAATTGTGAGATTAAAAAGTCAGTTTCTTTCCTTTTTATTTCTTATTTTGTGTCAAAAGCAAAACAGAACAAAGAACAAAATTGACAGTATTTAATGGCAGAATTTGTGAAGGGAAACTACATTACCCATAATGCTGTGTGGAATATTCCACCAATCAGAGAGTGGCAGTAAACAAAGCCCCACCCACTCTAATAAAGAACTGGCTTTGTCAAAATATTTCAATTATATATATATATATATATATATATATACTGTATATAATAGCAATAAATACGAAATATATAGTTTATAGAGATAAAATCAACAACAAACAAATTTCTGGAACCAAACAGTGGGCGGGCTCTAATGCACTCTCTTCAGCCAATCAGGATGTCCATCACTGAAGTGACAGCTCATCAATAGAAAAGTGTGCGTCCGACCAAAAAAGTGGCTCAAAGTTACATGCCGTTCGTTTCAGTCTGCTAGTGCTTCCACAGAACTCATGATCGCACCTGTCCAGGTAAATGCGCATTGTTTCTCGCCGCTAGCAGGTCATGTGACACAGACACCTACACGAACACAGGTCCGCCTCGGGCTGATCGACATTCAGAGGAACGGAGGCCGTCTGCCAGAACATGACAACAACAGAGGAGCATAAATGCAAATAATGTGAAACGACAGAAAGAGTGTGTG